CTAAGCAAGGAAAGGTTTAAGTGTGGGAGAGCCATGCTTCGACATGAATGGGCCGGCTCGACCGGAATGATACCACGGCCTCACAGAAGACCGACGTGAAACAACGTTGTGTTTTGTTTCGTCGTGTGAGTGAGATTACCGGAGGCCCAATTGCCCCTCCCCCTCCCTTTCCCCAATCCCTGAATCCCCAACAATCCTCAAATTCCTAATCCAGAAGGCCGGTAACGCACTTGTAACGCCTTTGGTGTTCCAGATGTCCATCGGCGACGCCGATTGCTTAACATCAGGTGATCCGTCTGCTCGTTTACCGGCTTATCCCTTGACAAAGCTTTAATTATGAATGAATTTCTATAACTGTGCAATTTACTTGTAATAGAATAAACAGATCGCCTGCACAGTAGGCGTGGTAGCTGAGCAACTAGCTATCGCGCAACATGTAGCGGGTTTATTTATTTATTTATTTAATATGCTTCATGCACAAAATGTACAAAAAGGTGGACTTAATGCCGCAGGCATTTCCTACCAGTCTGACCTTTGGGTGATGCAGAGAAGAGTAAATGGTAGGTGCAAGAGGCTTGATTGTAGCAACTCTCTATGTGATCCACAAATTGTTGTTTCGGGTCTGAGTGTCATTTGTGTGTATGTGATTGATGTTTGTAAGCGCGCACACAACATAGATAGACAAGAAATAGTTAAGACTATTACTACTACTACTACACTAAGGTGTGTGGCAACGTTTTAAAAAACATTTCATCTCAGTTAAACCCGTATTACCAATGATATACCGTATTACCCGTATTATGAATGATGAATTGTAAGTGATTTTAGTTAGTACCATTGCGTATGTCTGCCTCGTTGGCCGAGTGGTGGACTGCTGGGCAAGGGATCTCGGGTTCGATTCCCAGGTTGTACTGGGTATTACTGGGTTTTTTAATAAAAAATCTCAGTAGTAGCACGGAGTCTGAAATTGTGCCAGGTATATGGCAATAGGCTCACCCTCTATTACATGGGTCTCATAACATAAACAGTGAAAAGTGGGTATTACATTGCACAGTGGCAGTAAGTGCCGTAATGTGCACCTCTGCCAACCCTACCAAAATATGTGACTTAAATATAAAAAAACTACCTGTTTCTTGATATTATAACTACGGGGCATTAACCTCAATCGCAGAAAGACTTCCTTCATTCCTCTCCTCATAAATTCGACTTATTTTCTAAGATTGAGTTCATACCTTCGCTTCCATCAAATCCTCATTTCGGTTATATCCACAGGTAGAAAATATTGAGGTCACTTTATTTATAAATGGCGATGTCACGTGAAAGATTAACTAGATCATTTTTTCCATAAAACCTAGTTGCTAGTGGCTACTAATACTGTACTAATCTCGATTAGTTACCGCAGTTTCCACTAATTACTTTCTAATTAACTAAAACTGCTGGTATATTGTTAATCCTATTGCTGCAGCTGGGAGCTATTTTGCTGCGACATATTAACTGGATTTTTAATCATCCAACCATGTACTGCAAAAATCTGTTCCTACTTTAGACAAATTAGAAAAATTTAATGATTAAAGATAAAAGAATTTTAATCCAGATTTGTTTCGAAAATATTCCAACAAACATTTTGTTTTCGGAAATCATTAAAAATATTCTGCTGACTTAAGAGATTAAATAAACAAAAAAATGGGAAACAAACAAATCCCTGTTCGTATTTAAGCAGGATTCGATTTCATTTCGATTCTTTTAAATCGACAAAATCTCATTATCTCGATCCGATATTGACTCGATTTTGGTCCTCATTTTAATTTGAAATTGGGCAGAACGTACCCTTGTTATATGATCTACATAATAAAGACTTATCGGCAATGTTTGTTGGTTTCACCTTGGTTTCATGTTTGTTGCTAAATCAATTGAATTTTATGGGATTGTTGGTGGATTCACTGGTTGTAGATGTGTATGGTTATTGAAGGTTCTTCGATCAATGATAAATGTTAGTGTAAGTTTTTACTGGAACTTTTGTTAGTAAATACTAACAAATTATTTCTTGTAAACTGTTGATCTTTGTTACAAAGAATCTCGTTTAAAACTAATGAGATATAACCTGGTTCTATATTTAAATTTTTAATCTTAAAATTATTCAGCAAAAAAAAGAAAATAATGAGTCATCAAGTACATAGATAAATAGAGATTATTTCGAGCGTAATTAATGTCTAGACATATTTTAGTATAATCTAAACCTTTGAGGCTTAATGAAAGCAAAATTTTCGGCTGTAATATAACCTATAGGCACAATGTTCTCACGTGCGCTAATAATCACAGTTCCGAGTAAAATCAACCGTGTCCATTAGAAATTCCGTGAAATTTCATTGGCTTTCATCAAAATTTATAGACTGTAACGTTTCAAATTCAATCTTACCGAGATATCAAATGGTTGAATGATGTAAATTTTCAGGTCTGAGTTGTGCGCACATTTGTGTAATTTAACCCCTGAAGCCAATTGGAAAGACTCTTAATTAAATTGATGAATGACCGAAAATGAACCGTATTAAGATTGAGTTAGGAGCTGATTTTGTACAGCATGATTATGTATGGGTAGGTTTTTATATCTGTGATTTGAGGAAAGGATGTGAAAGAATAGGGAGTGAATGATGAAGTGACAGTTGATTGAGAACAATGGGAAAGAAAAACACATATCGCTGACCATAAGTAACTGGAGACAAGGAAGGACAAGAAGAAAACCCAAATTTATGTATTTGTGTAATCTAATAGAACGGTGAACGTCAATTAGTTTGTTTGTGTGACTAAATTGTTCGCCCTTTTAATCAGTGTGGGCATAGTAATTAAAATGTGAACTAGGAATTGTTTGAAAATAATAACTAGATAGCTATCGAGTCAATTTGTATGATACAGGTAACATAGAATTATGGAATACTTGGCTTCAAGAGGTTTACATATGTAGTAAATAAGTACAATAAAGATGTATCATACCTTATCAGCAAGGATGGTTGTTCCCTAGACATAATAAATCGGGTAACTGCGGACTAACTATCATTGTCTGGAGACCTACCCTTCAAATGTGTTACATTATGCGAAAATGTAAAATATAATTTTATAGCTACAGCGTACAGACACTTAAAATAAAAATCTATATGCGAAATAAACAGAGAGTAAACAGCACGCCCCCAAAAAAATGTGATAAAAAAAGTTTGTATTGTAGCTTTCATTAGACATAACAAAAAAAAGACAGTAGCAGCGCAACAGTCGCCGTGTCCCGGGTCGCGGAATGCTGCTCATGAATATGAGCCTCTAGCATGGCTTGAAACTAGTCGAGTTCCTCGTCAAATAGTTACGTGAGTAAGTCGAAAACATAATAAAAAAATGTTTTTATAATAATTTTAATCGTTTTTATTTATGTGTTATTCATGTCACATGGTTGATTACAACTATAATTACATAAAATAAACATTTGATTCCTTACTTTTATGAAAATATAACTTATTTTTGACCATCATCTGTCGACGTTTTTCGGGAACACTCTGTATATTTTGCATATAAATTTAATTAAATCATCTGATAATAATTCAATCATTTTTCACTTCTCAAGAACTGAACTGGGATTTTAAGCTATTCCTACCATGTTTACAATCAGATAAGAAACAAAATAATCTTTTCACTCAACCTGTTCCACATCCAATCAAACCACCATACAAAACTGGGTCACCCAGAACTTGGAATGGGAAATCCATAGCCCTGACATGATTGGGCAGCGAAATGAAACAATATTTCTTCCTGTACCCAAAGGACCCATTTGGTATAAAAAGTGGTCCTTCGGTCCTATGTCGGAACATAGGGTCATATTTGTCATCCGCGGATGTCAAACTACGAATTTCAATTTTATATCAAAATAATAAAGTTGAAATTCTAATAAAGAATACAGAAAAATGTAGGTTGGCTTGCTGCTGTCTGTTCTTTGGAAGCGCGAACAAATTATGTGTAGTCATTTTTGTTCTAGCAAACAGGAACTTTGTATAAATGTCGATCTTTATTTTTCTATCTAATAATAAAAGCAATAAGTATAACTGCAATGTTTATTTGTTGTGTGATATTAAAACGTTGTGTGTTTTGTCCTGAAGGGTTTTATCGACTTATGCACACATATTTAAACATTAATATTGTTATTTGCATTGTCAAACATAATATTATCATACATTGACCCATTTCTGAAATGGTTTTCAAGCAGGATTCCATGTTTTATTCAGTAATAATGTATAAACATATAATATTGGAAAGATTTATTATAATTTGTACAAATGAGATGACAAAAAAGTCTGAATTTAATGCTTATTTATCTGGACTATCCAAAACAAGCGATATTTTAGCGTCCTATAAATTTTGTTTGTCGGGAGCAGTTTCTGTTTTAACGCCCATACATTGAGAAGCGTTAATTTATGCCTGTTATTTACGGTGCTTAATTTTAAAAGCTTTATAGACTATAGAAGTATTTTCATCGGAAGATTTCTAATTTAGTAACGTCGGAACTGCTTTGATGATAAAATATTTATTTAAAAAAATGTAAAGATAAATATTGTGTCTAATAAAGTAAGCATCCAAAAAACTACGTGTGTACTTACTTTGACATATTAAACTGTCAAATACCAAGCGGTCACCGGTGACCGCAACCTATTGTTCTATAATTGTGTCTGCAAAACCGGTACTCGACGAGTTAAATTTTTAAAAATACTATTTTAAGTTATGTCATCAATTACATATCTATTTAACATTCTCATTGCTGAAATTATAAAATAAAACAAAGGATGGTAACCAAATGCCATTACTAAATATTAAAAAAAAAGAGAATTCGGTGTGTGACTTATAAAAATCCGAGGCAACAAAACATAACTCGATACTTTAGGAATTAAACGAGAAAAATCGCTGCATTACTTTGTAGAACATGGTGCTTTAGTACATAAAGATTAAAGTATATTTTTCCATTGTTTCAGTGTGTCCCAGTGCCCGGTTTGGGGTTTCGTCGTGGTTCCTATCGATGTACGTGCCGCCGAGGCTTCTACTTCCCCAACACTACAGCTGACAGTCGATTCTACAACGGCAGTGACATTGAAGAAGAGTATGAGAAACATTTGCTAGTGAGTTTTTACTTCGAGTATAAAATTTCCTTAGAAGATAAGTATAACTTATTTTCAGTATCAAAAAACTTAAAAGAGTAGGTACAGGTTAATGGTAGGCCTATGAAACCTTATATAAATTGAGAATTGTAAAATTGTTGGTTATTATGTAAAATATGGATGCCATGTAAATTGTACGAAGAGTAAAAATACAAACAGTGAATGCTATTCCACGTAAAAATTGAGTATTATTCTTAAGAATTTTGAAGTCGTATATAATAATGCAAGCGTATCAGGCATTTTCTGCCTACCCTTTAAAGAATTATAGTGGTTATAGTTGTTATATTTCATATTTTTTCCAAAAGCGTATTGTATAACAATGTGAAACAATTACATTAGTATTCATTAGCCTACATAGACCGAGGTATCAATTCAGAGCCCTCTAAAATATATTAACAAAATAAACTGGATATTAGCATACACATAAAAGAGACCTAATTCTCTTTATTTCTATTAAACTAACAAGAAAATAATAATATTACAAAAATATAATTTTGTTCATATGAAGAGTTCATTATTGTAAAAACTGTTATACCTATTCCAACATAAAATTAAATGAGTTTATTAAAATCCTTGGAAATATGAAAAATGTGAAAATGTATTTATCTTTTTTTAACGACGCGACGGAGTAATTCGATAGTATGAATTAAGCTAAGCTCTACTCTAACTAGGTATTAATAAAGTCCAAATATGTTTTTTTAAACGTTAATGAGTAGACGGATCACCAGGTGATAAGCAATCAGCGCCGCCCGTAGACACCCGCAACGCCAAACGAGTTTCAAGTGTGTTAAGGGACAACTGAAATAAAAATACATCCTTCTTAAAACAAAATTTTTCCAAACAGCTCCAACCCAGTCTGTACTCTCTGCCGGACGCCTACGAGTGCCTGCCCTGTGCTGAGGGTTGTGAAGCCTGCAATGACGGTTCTCCTTGCGTGGCTGCTCTGAACTGGGTCGTCCGAACCACCATCTTCGCTCTGGCTTGCCTGGTCATCTCTTGTCTACCATTCATCGTCTACTTCACTATCAAGTATGGGCATGTCAGGGTGAGTATACTTTTATTTTATCAAGTTTTAGAGGTTGTGTCATAGTTAGGTTATTATCCAGACTGCTGGACACAGGCTACTTTTTCAAATGGCGGCTGAAATCTCAGAAACATTGAAATTCCACGATGAGACTTACAAGATAAGGAGATTTAAGTTAACGTTGTAATTGACTCAAATGGAGTGGAAACACATCTGTACTATGAAGTTCATTTCTAAAACGACTGCTTCAAAATATAATTTTACTTACCATATTTTAACTCGTCGAGTACCGGTTTTGCAGACACAATTATAGAACAATAGGTTGCGGTCACCGGTGACCGCTTGGTGTTTGACAGTTTATGATGATACTAAGTAAAATATACAAGGTTCAATGTACTATAAACCTTATATGCTTTTGTAGCTTCCTCTAAGTTCACCTGTCATATACACTCGTTGGTTATGGATTTTCTACACCTGGATATTCATATTGTATGTTAAAGTATAATATTAAGAAATGGAGTTGATTCCGATATGTACTCCAATAGGTAAAATGTAAATTGTCAGTTGAAAAGTTCTAAAGTAAAGAATGGTGTTCCAATCTATACAGCGCAGCGGTACATAATATTACGATGGTATATTTATTATATAACTGTGGAGATATTAAAAATTAATTCATATGTTTTTCGACTAGGCTAGTTCCTTGTCAAATAATTACGTGAGTAAGCCGAATAACAAATTAATAATTAATTATAATGGTGGTATTCATTATCAATGTGCCGTGATGCTGCATACTGTCATTGATAAAATTTTATGAATGACCAAAATAATTTTACATTAAGAATGGAGATAAGTGCTATTGTTTTCCATTAGTAGTTAGGTAAATAACTAGGTACTAAACCTAACTAGTAGGATAGTAGTTCAAAACAGACCGTGACCAAAATAAACCAAGAATCACACTCCCAAGATCCAAGGTGAACTTATCCTCAATTTCTATAGCTAACGCTAATGAATTGCGCACAACATACACAACGTCTGGCGCAATCACATCAGGGGAAAACTTATTATGATTTTGACAGAGACTAATAGCTGAGGGTTATAGCGTCCTTGATTAATGTACTATGGGAGAAAGGGGGTGTAACTTGAAGAAGAAAGGGGATAAAAATTGATGAGTCTCTGACGAAGAATTGAAGGTAGTAATTGGAAGGGTGTCAGGTTATTTCCAGACAGGACAAAAGGACATCATAATCTTTGGTGGCGATGATTAATTACTTTTCGATGAAAATGTAAGTAGGAAGGTATCGTAGTATTAGAAGGTATAGGGGGAAACGATACAAAATTATTTGTTTACCAACATATTGTCTCGCTAAGCATAGGGTATTCTGGAAAAACAAAGTCAGATTACTATACTATTGCGAATATTTTGAAGGCAATTTCAATTAGATAGTTGAAAAGGTAAGAAAATTAAAAATCTAATTAGTCCGTCAGTTAGATAATGAAAAATTATTAGATACGTATTTTTTATTTTATTGTATAATAGATAGATACTTAGATATAACAAATCAAAGTTTAGGAGTGGGGGCTAAAACGTAATTTCTACGTATAAAATGTACATAGAAGTGACGTCATGCGACATTTCAAATCAATATATCGTCAAAAGTTTTCGTTTCTGTAAGAAAATAAAAATACGTGTGTAATGTTTTAAAATAATCTACCAGACGGACATTAAAATAAAAATTAGTCATCTACTCTATTACAATTATAAACATTTTATGATTAGATCCAGTCTTCAGTTAAAGATATAAACGGTGGAAAAAATTAAATTGAAAGAAACTTCTAACGAACGAAATTGTCTTATACTATTTAATAAATCGAAAACGTACCCATTTAAATTTCCTTTATCCCCATCTCATAAGGATCAGGTGTGTTCCAATTAATACATCAGATTAATACAGAAATCGCAATCCCGCCTTCGAGTAATAACACGGTAACTTATCAAATATCTACCGACGTAATCAGTATTCATAGTGTTTGCTAACCTGCTCAATCAATATCTTGGAATTTAGTTTTGTCATGTACCGTGTGATCTTAGTTATGTGTGTATTTCATAGTATGTTATACGTATCTATAATATCTTTAGCGTTGCGTAATAATTTTGTATATCCTTATCATCGTCCTTGGTTAAAATGAACTTTGTTAATGCAAAGGTTAAAATAGGATGCTTGTATAATCCCTAAAATGGTCTTTACAGCCATTCTCGTTACGGTGAAATGAATAAAGAAAAACTAAATAAAACAACAGCTATAACAAGCAAAAAACTAGAAAACAACGAAACATTGCACACTGAAACAAGTTTCTAAAGCGATGTACAAAATTTTGCAAATCGTACACCCATTCTGAACATTTACAACAGCACTTCTGCACCCACTATGGTCTATTCCACCGACAAAACAAGGTAGTTTAGCTAAAAATTATGATCCTACTTACAGTGTTTCCGCAGCGTATTTTGTTCGGCTATCCGAAATCTCACCGAATTCCTATGCAGATACAAGTTGAAACACTCATATCAAGTTTGACCTTGCATGTTCTGTACTGTGACGGTCGCAGTTTTTAAGGTGAATTTAAATACGGGAAGTTTTATCAAAGACTCAACGTGCCATTTCAATGTGGGGGGAAAGAATGCTAGAAGAACGGGATGACCTTGAACTAAACGGTTGAAAGAAATAAAATACAGTTAAACCTGTAAAGAATGAAGTTAGAATTGAATGCATAAAAGATAATGGTAATTCAGGTCATTAATATGAGGTGGTGTTAATTAATCAACTAACATCTGTTCTAGAACTAATCCTCCCAGATTCAAAAACACAACTGTGTCTACACAAAGCATGAAAAACGAAAATAACAATAGACCACATCAATATTTCGTTGCGTCCTTTTTTCCAAACCATCCATCATACTAGGCTATCGATCAAATAACCACGCTGTCAACGGGAATTTAGGTATTTATTCCAAAAACTTTACCAAACAAATGTTTTGAGTTCTTTTTATTTTGTACTAGTTTCTGCCAGCGGCTTCGCCCGCGATACCAGGGGGAAAATGCTAATGTATTACTTCACACCATACTCTACCTCTGTTCCGAATTTCATTCAGGTCCCTTCAGTCTTTTTAATATGACTGAGTAACAAACATACACAAACACATAAGCTCACATATTTTCACATTTATAATATTGAGTCAAGGTAATTTCAGGCATCGGCCCTACAGTTACAGCGTAAAGTCTATGGATGAGTGAGTATTGTAAACGTAAGAGTAAACAAATATAAGCAGAAAGCTCCGAACTGCTAAGCTATCGGGAGTTACACGTGTTATTGTAAGTCAACCATAAAAGATAGATGTGCTGTTGTGGGATATTATTTAGATAATTTTATGTAGAACATTTCCGTCATACATGATTTCTATGTAGCTTTAACTATTAAGCTTGCACACGCGACGGAAGCTTAAAAAATGGAGTAACTTCTCCCGTTTTCCCAATATTTCCCTTCACTGCTCTGCTCCTATTGATCGTAGCGTATTGAAAAGTATACTATAACCTGCCCAAGAGTATGAAGAATAATTGTGCCAAATTTCGTTAAAATCCGTCGTGTAGTTTTTATTTCCATAACGAACATACAGACAGACAGACAGACAGACAAAAATTTTACTGATTGCATTTTTGGCATCAGTAGCGATCCCTAACCACCCCTTGATAGTTATTTTTTTAATATATTTTATGTACAGAATTGACCTCTCTACAGATTTATTATAAGTATAGATTTGCCAATCTTACCACTAGAAACTAACAGTAAGTTTCTACAATAAATACGTTTTAAGTATACGGCAAAAATATAAAGATACAGAAGATAAAAAGATTATGTTATTTCCCAAAAGCAAATAACTATACAAACATATGTATATTATAATGATACTTCTTATATTATTTTTTTCAAAAATGTCTTGTACATTCGTAGAAGAGTATTAATTCCCTGTTTTTGAATTGGAGTATATTTATGTAGGTACTTATCACATCTTCATAATTTATTGTCCTAGGTCGTAAGGGCAGCAAGTCCAGCACTCCTCAGGGTGATTGTCCTGGGAGCTCTGCTCATCTACTGCACCACCCTCGTCATGTATGGGAGACCTACAGTCTTTACCTGTACTGCAAGGGTTTGGCTACGGGAGGTCGGGTTCTGCCTCACTTATGGAGCTCTCATGTTGAAGACTTGGAGGTAAGTGGATAGCTGAAGTAAAATTCCCATATATTCTCAATCAAAGCCAACATTCACTAAAATTCATCCCCTGTTCTATTTGAAGATATGATTTCCAGTAAAATTCAAAATCCACCACCAAATTTGTTTATCATCCACCGAAAACACGAGAGTTGAACCCACTTATATCAACCGAAGGTCATAAACTTTTGACAGACCTAATTATTCATGCAGGTATCACAAAAAACCACTGGACCGTTATTAAGCTTGGAATTAGGACAGGATCCTTGAAATAGGACCCTCAATTCTCCTAGGGTCACACAAATATACCTATACTGTGTTCTATACCACGTTGGTATTTCAATTTGGAGTTTAAATTCAATTTTGTTTTTCCATCAGTGTAAAGCGAATGAAGTTATTAATTTGTTTAATTTAAATTGGAATCAGTTTGTATTCAATTTTGTGTAGCGAGCTAATTTTCGTGTTGCTGTTTAAATTGAAGCTAATACAATTAAAAGTAATTATGAGTGAAAGTAATTTTGGTTTGATAAATGAGACCTGCTACTCGAAGTCCCATATTATTTATTGCAGGGGTAAGCACTAGTTTATTGCCTGCAGAGAATTTATGCTTTACCTAGAGGCACAAAACGTGATAAATATTTGATCTTTAAAACGACTGTGATTCCTAAGTCGATACCTTATATTATATCAGAATTAATTTATATCCAATCAAACATGTAACATATAGAATTTTTTGTAACTTTCATTATTATTACATGAAAAAATACGAAATCTTTTTCTTAGAAGCAATTTATTACCCTCCGAAACATGATAAGCTCCTTTAATATATTTGACATCAACAACTTTTTCTAAATCTTCAATCTGAGCCTCATTTCAAGTATATAATTGGGCTTGAACTTTTTAGATTGCGATCAAGTTTCTTTTAATTAGATACCGGTGAAATGAAATTGTATTCTTGTCAAGATAAGTCTCAAGTTGTCTTTTAAATTTTGGGACCCTCTTTTGAGATGCGTAAATAAAGGGAATCTGTTTACAAGACCAATTTAACATAATCTACTTGATTCTGACGTCTGCATAATAGGATTTGTTTTCTTGAGAACTGATCGTGCATACATTATATGAGACTGTATGCTATCTCATGTGATTATGTGAAAGAGAAAGAGATGGGGGATATGAGTTCAGATAACTTGATTTGTGGGATCTTGTTATTAACCTGAATTCGTTAAGTAATCAACGATATTAAATGTAATTGTAATTAAGTTAGCTTTATGCGTAAAATTTGCACGCGTCCTCGCGAATTGGGGGGGGGGGGGGGGGAATATACCGAAATTGGGAATATACTGAACAAAATTGTAGAATAGACTAATTTATATTAAAGAAAAAAAAATTTCGACTATAACAAAAGTCCTTACTCACCGCACCGCACTCTCTGAATACACGAGGTGTATTACATACCTGGTGTGCTTCTAATGCTTGAGGGTGCGGGGTCAAGCTACCAACAGCACGTACCAATGTGACTTTCTCCGAGTTGTACATACTTTCTAAGATTATATTATTATAGATACCACTAACAAGCGGTGAAGGAAAACATCGTGAGGAAACCTGGACTTATAATTTTCAATTATAAGTTTAAAATCGCCAACCCGCAATGAGCAAGCGTAGTTCTCCGTGTGAGAAGAGGCTTTGCTCAGCAGTGGGCACTTGTAGGATGTTGATATGTATTACAAACTTAACTAACTCTAAAATCTTCCACCAGGATATCAGTGATATTCCAAGTACGGTCAGCAAAGGCAGTGAAGATATCGGACATGTACCTTCTTCGTCGGATCGGAGTGATTGTAGGCGTGGCGTGTGTGTTGCTGGCCATACGCACGCTGGTGGCGCCACCTGCTGTCATAGTTGGAAGAACTAAAGATGATCTGAAGGCGTATTTGTGTAACACTGACTGGTGGGACCATTCTTTTACTACGTGTAAGTAGAAAAAAAATGTGTATTTAACTCACTGAAGCTGTTTTTGAAGATTGTTCATTTGGTTGTTGTCATCTTCTTGCTTAACTAAAAATAACAATAATTCGTATAGTCTTAAAAACACATTATAAGTTACTAAATATAATTATAATTATATCTGTTAGATAGTGTAATGACATTATTTTATAAATTACTCTTAAAAAAAAACAACTTCAACCACCTCTTTTTTGTGGTTGATTGAAAATGCCTACAATTTTCACGGAGGTACACATTTTTTCCTTAGACAATTTTTAGAATATTATTGTCGCATTAAATGTAGAAAAATAAACCCTTTTTGTTACAAACAATTTAGATATATTACCTAACCAATTCCAGAAAGAATTAAAATTTGTAAAACTAAAAAGTTTTAATAAATAATCTTAATTTTTGTCGTCACCTGTAAAAAGATCTTGTTTTTTTAATTCAAATTCTTCAAAGAGTCCACTACTCCAAAAGACCAGTAGCTATTATTAAATGTATAAAGCAACTCTAGAGACAAAACTTAAAACAGACCCTCTAATTAAGTTTAGCTTCTTACAAATTTAATGAAGTCCAAACCGAGCGAAATGCACTTTGTACTCTGTAAACATTATTTCCTTTCACAAGTCTCCTTGGACTAAGGGTCAGCACACAATGAGACGCGACGCGACACAGCACTGCACGGACGCTTTATAAGACCAGTTCGAAATATATCTTTATTTTTAATATACTTATTATAACAGAACAAAAGAGGTTCTCAATTTGGCTTGTATGTATGCATATTTGTGCGCGATTATGTAGCGATTATCTAAACCGACTTTGATGCGGTTTTTACAAAAGTGTTATATGAAGGTTTTAACATCACGCCTTTTATCCCCAAAGAGGTAGGCAGAGGTATACATTATGCCACTGTACAATGTAACACCCACTTTTCACTATTTATGTTATGAGTCCCATGTAATAGGGGGTGAGCCTATTGCCGTACACCAGGCACAATTCCAGACTCCCTGCTACTACTGTGAATTTTTTTGAAAAACCCAGTAATACTTTGTCCGTCTCGGGAATCGAACCCGAGACCCCTTGCCGGCAGTTGCACGTGCGACTACTCGGCCAATAAGGCAGTCTTTATTAATGAAGGTTAGTATATTAAATTAACCGACTCCTAAAAAAAGGGGAATTGAAGTTGGTTTTTTTAAACGTAGCTTATAAAAGAATTATGCACATAATAAGATACACATTTTACATGACAGCGGCGTACGACGCTTCACAAGACTCATAATAGCATTAGCACGCGTCACTTCTCAGTGTGGTTGAACCCTAAAGCCAAGTTTGAAGTCGACGTTACAATTAAAGGCGACCAACACCACTGGCGACTAAAACGTCAGAACAAATTAATAAGTGGAAAAGTTGTTAAAATAATAAATTATTTTGTTTGACGGCCCACAGTTTATACGATAAAGTTTATTGCTGGGATAGTTTTGTACGTAACTGCAGTTAATGTAACTTTGTGAAGGATAATGAAATACTTTTTTGTATTTTAATGGATTGCAGAAATACTCTATGACGATCACTTTCTCTTGAACTACTTAAGAGCTTTTGAGATGGGCACTAAGTATTGACCAGATATGACCAAATTAATTTACATAAAATATAGATACCACCTACCTTCCACAACCCACTAAGGGAGATACAGATTTTTGTGGTTTCTGACAAGGTGCACCGACTATCTTAGATATCTGTACGACAAACAGATTTTTTCTTCGACTTGACCACATTGTTGTTAGAAATATTTATTATTTCTACCAAAAATATAATCAATTTCCTGCCTCGTTGGCCGCGTGGTCGCAAATGCGAATCGAGTTCGATACCCGGGTGGCACAAAATGTTACTGGGTGTTTTTAAAAAATCTCAGTAGCAGCATGTAGTCGGGAAATGTGCCAGGTATATAGCTTACACATAAGACGCATAACATAAACAGTAAAAAGTGGGTTTTACATTGTACAGAATGTACAGTGGCATTAAGTGCCGTAATGTGCACCTCTGCCTACCCCTTCGAGGATAAGATGCGGAATGTTATTTTATGTAATTAATTATATTTATCTGTTCAACAGTGGAAGTAATATTCCTGGTGTGGGGCATTAGACTCTGCATCATGGTGCGGAAAGCGCCCTCCGAGTTCAACGAGAGCCGCTTCATCTCCATGGCGATATACAACGAATTCCTTCTCTCTGTCTTCCTTAATATATCCATGTAAGTCCGTTTCTTTCTCTGTTTCATATATTTTTACACTTTTATTAATCCAATTAACTTAATTAGAGTGTGTATGCGTATCTTCAATCAGTGAGTGTGCTAGTTGATTAAATAAATTAGGTTCTGAATTTCTGAATTGTTAAAATTATGAATTTCCTACATTTCTTTAAAATTCCTTAAAGTGAATTTTTTAAATACTACTTAAAAAAAAACAAAAAAATAATGTTGAAAAATATAATGAACTCGGTTAAAAATAGGAACCGACCGTAGCGGGAGCATAGTCCAAGCTAACAGTGGTGGTAAAGGCTCCAGAGACAGAAACCTCCTCACGATACGTGCAGTTTATAGGACAGGCCCTTAATCTGTTCACCTAACGCCAGCCTCCTAAGATAGTCATCGAGGTTTTAAGGGATTAAACCATTGGCCGATATGACTATCGGCACAATGATAGCCGAATCCACATTCCACATGTCGACAACCTCGTGAGCTAAGTCTAGATATTTTAAATTATGAATTATTATTATAGTTTACTCTTAATAGTTTGGAGTATTTACTATATAGTATCTAAAAAATAGGCTCACGCCCTGTTATATGGGACTCTTAACATAAAAATAGTGAAAAGTGGGTGTTACATTGTACAGTGGCATTAAATGCCGTAATGTACACCTCTGCCTACCCCTTCGGGAATAAAAGGCGTGATGTTATGTTAATCTTAAAAACAGATACATCAAGTACCTATCACATCTTATCAAAGGTGACTTTAACTTCCCTATGAAGTACTAGCTCCTAATAATTTTGTACAAAATTTAGGAACGAGATAGTTTGCGAAGGTTAGAGAGCTAACGACAGAAAGTTTAGAGGCCGGAACTCATTAAACTATTGTAGCAACCTCGCTTCTGGCACAACCAATTTATTTCACACAAGTACTTCTACTTTGATGCAATATACAAACAACTTATTAATATGGAGGCTGTACCAAGTTTTAATTAGAATATACTTGATTAAACATGTATGGAGTATGGAGAATATTTAAAATGTGCAAAAACCTGACTGCTTCATTGGCCGAGAGGTCGCAAGTGCGACTGCCAGGTAAGGGGTATCGGGTTTGATTCCCGGGTAGAGTAAAATATTGCGGTGTTTTTAAAAATTTCTCAGTAGTAGCACGGAGTTTGGAATTGTGCCCGATATATGGCAATAGGCTCACCCTCTATTACATGGGACTTATAACATAAATGGTGAAAAGTGGGTGTTACATTGTAAAATGGTATTAAAAGGTAACAGGCGTACTTTGGCAACCAAAAAATAAGTAATTGGTTGATAAATAAGATGCTGAATCTCAATTCAGCTTAATTATCTACTACAGTACAGAAAAGACGGTGCTACCAACAAAAAAAAAAAATGACCTTGAAATCAGATAATATATTGCTAAAGAAATACGTTCAATATTTTATACCAAAGTCTCTCGAAAACGATTTCATGTATAACAAAAAGTAGAAAATTGAAATCGTTTGAGAACACATCTAATTCTAGAGCTAAAGTATCACTTATATTCCATACTCAATCATTATTGGCTCACAATAGACGTTTATTACACGCAATTTACATCTGTCAAGGATTTACTTCAAGAGAAAATTTCATAAAAGCATTTAACAACAAACTCTTGCAAAAATCCAATTCTTTTACTGTGGTAATTTACGTGCGAATAAAGGCAAAGATTTAGTACATGTGATATGAAGTGGGTTCCTAGGATAAGTGGCTGTATTCGACCGTCATACTTTATGGATATTAAGTCCTTGAAGAACATAGGTCATGGCTAGATCTGATAAGATCGAAGGTCCTAGATAGTACCCTCGTAAATATAATTTCAGGGATCAATGGATTTAGGCAAGTCAAGTACCCTTCGATATTTGCTAATCAAAATGTATGAGGTTGATTCTGTTTGTAAAATGACACGTAATTCTATGCTAGAAGTTGTAGTGAATTAAAGAAATAGAATTTATTTAAATGAGTCTTTCGTATTGCAGTTTTTATACGTAATTTAGATGATATATTCTATTGAATTAAATGATAGGATTGAATAATTTGTATCGGGTTTAGGTTAAAATCAGTAGTTTATTTATAAAGTATTAACTTGTTATACCGTTGTCAGAATTAAAGTGGGATTTCTGTAACTTATACGGAGGCTTTACGAGCTCTTCAAGGATTACAAAGCACAAAGATATTTTGGACAAACAACACTGCAACGAGGCATTAACTTAATTCGAATACACAGCTAATGCTACTTATGACTATGGGCCTCTAGCATGGCTTGAAAGTAGTCGAGCAAACAAAACAAGCACTTGATAAATGGTACAACCTACTCTAATATGGAGAATATATAATATAATCGTAAGAGAAAACCCTGACAGAATTCAGTAACCAGACCAAACCAGAATAAAGACTATAAAAGCCAAGAAAATGCTAACATTATTATTCTTAATACGTTACTGAAGTAAATCAAGTTGGAGTCGACGTCGACAAAGTTTTTGATATTACACGAGAACCAAGTGAAACAATGATTGTGTTATGAGAAGTTATTTCTTGCCAAGTTCCGGTGCACTTTTAAATGTCAGTTGGAAGTTGAATTCTTTGCCCGCAATCTGGGAATGGGTAAAGTTTTGATGGCGCTGCTTATAGTCAGGGCTATCGGAAGTGGGTTACTATGCAATGTGCATGCCCGTCTCTTTTTATGGTAAAAGATTATGAGGTTTTTAAAGACTATAATAATAAAGTCAAAGGAAGAAAGAAACTAGTCGAACTCCTCGTATAAAATTACGTTAGTAAGCCAACAAAAATATAACAATTATAGTAGAAAGGTTTACACTGAATACTATGCTATGGTACTTTTCTTCAGATGTATACTTAAAAATGATAGAATCCCCATTAGCTTGTACATCTTAAGTCGAATGATTTTTGCTTATAGAACTCTTAACAAACGTACTTCTATGTAAAAACAAAGATTCTTAAAAGAAATGGAACGCAAAGAAGAAACAACTCTTCCAAAAAGTATTCCTTTTCATTGACCACTACCAATTCTTTTAACACCAATTCTTCTTTACAGGTTATTCCTCCAGTCCCCTGCAAACCCGGACCTCCTGTATATAATATTCTTCTGCCACACGCAGCTGACTGTGACTCTTCTGTTGTGCTTCATCTTTGGGAGCAAGGTAGGCACGGTAAGATAGCGGTCAGACTGTATGTATGTATGTACCTCTGTGTTGGTTCTGCACTAACGTCTGGAACCCTTCGTTTTGAGTAATTTTTTTGATAGTAATATAATTTGGCATACTTGGTTTTGATGTAATCTGAATTCATGATTATACACCGTGAAATCTACATCGTTTTCGTCCCGAAGTAAAATGGTTCTGTCTCGGTAATACAATAGTTTTACATAGAAATAAAATGTTTAAAACAAGAAAACAAAAAATAACTGGTGAATCATTACAAAACGCATTTTTTTTAAATCTATAAGCAATGACATCTTTATTTTTTTGCTTTTACTTTTTGCAACGAAAGTACTGGTACACTGCATCGTTGGCCGAGTGGTAGCAAGTGCGACTGCCGGGCAAGGGGTCTCGGGTTCGATTTCCGGGTCGGGCAAAGTATTCCTGGGGTTTTAAAAAATTCTCAGTAGTAGCACGGAGTCTGGAATTATGCCCAGTATATGGCAATAGGCTCACCCCCTATTATATGGGACTCATAACATAAATAGTGAAAAGTGGGTGTAACATTCTACAGCGGCATAATATGCACCTCTGCCTACCCCTTCAGGGATAAAAGGCGTGATGTTATGTATGTAGTACATCGAAAGTACTTCTTACAGCAAGTTGTTTTGCTGTGGGACGAAAACGAAATATATTTTACAGTGTATTGCAATGTAAAACAGACTTTTTTTAAAGGGTAACGAATGGAGTTTCTTGCTCGTTCTTCTCCACTCGAATCGACATTTTGGAACGAGCGCCTAGCTTCACTGACGGACAGACTGACAGACTATTATATATCTCATATTTATTGACGTTTCAAAAGTACCAAATTATGGTTTAATTGAATTAAATGCTTTTGAGTTTGAGTTTGAGTATTGCTGCTGTTGTAGTAACTTCTGTTTAGAATAGCAATTGAATAAAAATTGAGAAGTTAGATTAGGTTCTATTTTAATTAATAATTTTTAACATTTTAGTTATTATCGCACACTTAGAAATTAAATTAATGATGAATATCATAGGGTAAATAAACCATGCCAAATTACATGTTACGCTTAAAAATGCTACGTAAAAAGAGGGGAATCCTAAAGGCTTTGTAGTCCCAAGCTTGTGTGCTGCCTACACTACTTCGGTGCTTCAGCGACATGTTATGTTACAACGATTGCTAATAACCCTGTGTGTACCGGGACCGAAAGGTTTGTATGTTTGTAATATGGTATGATCATGAAGGGTTAATCAGAGCGTAATACCATACACCGAGCAGAATTTTGAATTTGTTCTTCTTCTTTTTATGGTGCCACTTCATTCCTGAAGGTTGGCCGTCAACTTTTTGAATTGGTCCTTGTCATTAGCTAGGTGGAAAAGTTGTTACAGAGCTGATACCGGTCCACTCCCGAATATTGAATTTTGAATTTAGTATTTTGTATCGTATACTCTGTGCCACTTCGAAAAATTTTGACAGCCTGTTTGCCGTATGTATGAGTATCCAAATGTTGGTATGTAATACATAACAATTATAATACAAAATGTAATTCATATAGTTCACCAAAATACTCAACATCCAACAAACCAAATTCTGACATTCTCTTAGTATTGAATAAATAATTTTCTTGTTCAAAACATATTATTACAAGTGTTGCTAATTAACGACACCGTAATAAATTGTTCGAAGTTCTGAAAACTTCTGAAATCTTATGAACTTTGTTTCACATGTTATTTGGTACTAGATAATGTTTTACATTATTATTTTCGGTAAAGAGATTTTCAATTATAATTGTTTGTTGTTTAGAAGTTCGTCTTTTAGCATATGATACTAGATTCAATTACTGACTGTAGTAAACTTGTAAGGAGTTATAAGTTAGTATTGTGGTTGTCCATGGCCAGCGCTTATCACCATCACCTGGGCTCATAAAAATGACTTGTGGGCACTCGACCACCTAGGCCATCAAAATAAAAAAGTATTGTTGAAAAATTTCATAAAACCTACACGATGACGTAACGTAACCGCTGGTATACAAGGTCCATCGCTTGACATGAATTGCATTCCATGCAGGGACTAAAGTAATTACTTTTCCAATATTGTATGGTGGGTAAAAAATTGTATACACGAGTACAAGGTTCCTCAAAATGTAAAGTGATTTGAAAGCGAAATAGTTAATAGTAATTATCTAGAACCATCTAGAACCATCTAGACGTATTGTGTAGGTAACTATCTTATTGATGCTTTATTTTGTTTAGTAGTGGAATATGCGACGCTCATACCCAAATTGTACGGTTTGATGATACGGTTTAACATTAATACTTCATCCAAATCACTTAACGACACGGTTGGTGCGGTGGCTGGACACACAACTGCCGCGCAAAGTGGTTCCATTCCAGCACGGAGCAACTCTTTGTGTGATCCACAAATTATTGTTCTGATGCTGGGTGTGTATGTGAACTTGATGTTTGTAAACGCATTCATGACACAGGAGAAAACCCTAATGTAAGGCAACGTTCTTAAAAACATCCAATAATTCAAACATCTAATCAGTAACTCCACTCATCTGAGTTGATTTTAATCCAATCGATGAGGGGATCCAAAAGATGCATCAGATTAGCTTGCACAGCAATATACACCAAAACAAACTTCACTATTACCTGACTTAATATCGAACGTTGCAGTACAGAAATTCTAAAATCAAAATTCAAAATTAATTTTCTTCAACAAGTGTATCTCTTTAGTCTAGAGTAGTTCTAAACTCTTAACACTCCAACTTTTCCCCTTGTAAGCACTCACGTACAGGGTGGATCTATAATGAAAAAAAAGCCGGTAAAACTTTATATTGAATCATGAAAGTGGACAAAGTTTTAAACCGATTGCTCAGGAGTTGGAAACGAAATTAGTTTTGCTACAGAATTTCAATTGGCAGGTAAACTGTTAAACGTGTAAGTTGTTTCGTCAGAATCTCAGTAGTGGAGCCGAGGTTGGATTTTTTGCTGATTCTAGAATGTTGGTTGGTTCCGTATTAAGTAATTCATAAATTTATTTATTCATTAATACATTTGAAAAACCAACGAAGCTATACAATTTGATTAAATAGAATGTGGAAGAAAATTCAATCGTTTCTTCGTAACTGCTAGAGTAGTTTTCATTAATGTTCGAGGAGAAATGGTCGATATTTTACCATAATTTACCTTGAAGAAAGGGAAACCGTGGTAGGGTTTTGACCTCTACGCTTTATAGGGATATTTTTCAATCATATTGAAAACTATAATATCTTCATATACATCTCCTTACATAGATGAATCCGTAGACTTATCTACCCAAACGCACACTACCTTCAAACAATTACATTTCATGGTATTAAACAAACAGAGCTTCAAAATGGCTTCCGACCATTGTCAATAACGGTACCTTGATATCTAAACCGAATAACTAAGGTCGTTGAACCGTAAGCCCAATTGGTTCTACCTTACCTGGTTTTACGCTCCAATAATTAAATCTTCGGCTGAACTAAACATTTATTCGTTCAAATAGCTTCACAAGATTCCGTCAGTCTAGAACAGACTTTCAAAGTACGACTTAACTTGTTCTAAAAATAAACTTTTGGTTGTTGTTTGTATCGACTTTACCCCGCTTGAAACTCTTCAAAGTAAATTTTCATACAATGATCGTCAAGGTCTAAAGAACTACAAAAATAATATCACCTTGTAAGTTTTTTTTTAATCATTGCCCCACTTTAGGATTTTCTCCTGTGTCGTCTGTTCGTTAACAAACGTACAAGTTCACATACACAATGACACCCAGACCCGAAACAACAATTTATGGATTACACAAATTGTTGTTCCGTGCGCGAATAGAACCCGCGACACGTTGCACGGCAGCCGGTTGTCCAGCCACCGCCCCAACCGTGCAGTCAACACTGTAAGTAACGCGAGTATATTTCATTCGATGGAAATTTTATGGTTATCTATATGTTGCAATATAAAATAGGTACTGTATTTCACATTACCCATTGTCTTAGATATCACAGTTCCAATTGTGTGCTTTGACATTTTCTTCTACTCAAAATATTTTGTATAATGATGCCATCAGCTTAAACGGTCTTTATTTCTACACAAACTGTACAATATAGCCACTATAAGCGGTTGTCCATTTAGTGGGTAAGCAGTAAGTAAGCCGTTGCACTAGTTATTATAGTTAATTTGGCCACGATCCCAAAGTGGCTGGCAAGTGCGACCCTCCACCGTCGTTATGTGATATTATTTGATGCTGTTTTATCTTGTGGCTAAGAAGGAAATGTTGTCATATTGTTTATTGTGTTTTCCTTCTGGTCCTTCGAGAAGGGATGTGATAAAATGTTGATGTTATCGCGATTCACAATATATTTGTGTGTATCATCAACAGTCCTTGAGGGTCCGCTGCTGAACTATATGCCTTTTCAACATCATAATGTGTTTTATTGTTACAATTCATATTAATAACAAAACCATGAATGGACTTGTGTAAAAATATACATCTAGGTTCTACTATAGTTCTATCTATATCAGCTTTTGTTCTTTATTTCGCGAGGCATATTCAGATAATGATGGGTGTTTTGCTATGTTTGATAATGATGATAATAAACACTATGTTTATTAATATAATATATCTTACATACCATGTTGTTTTGAAAATGACTTGGAATAGTTTCCCCACTGAGCTAAACTGAAACTTATTCAATACTTTTTCATTTATACTGTCATAAATGTTGCCAAGAGCTCTTGACAAGGACCAAACTAGGCTTCATACAGTCCTTCAGCCCAGAATCACCCGTTGAAGGATCGTTACAATGAGTTTATGTCCGCCATTATGAGGATTGTTTTCCTTATGTACAAACATAAATATTTACTAAGAGCAAAACATTTAGAGCTTGTTGATAGAAGCTAGGAGCGTTTATGATTTTTTATTGTAAGAACGTTGATGCAAACATGAAATAACAGAAGTAGCATAATTTGGATTACGATCTGAATTTTTAAGAGTTACTGTCGAACAAGGGTTAATTCTTGAATTGAGTAAAGTATTATTAAGTTATAGATTTGCGATAAATAATGATAGTAACGAAGAATGTAACATCAGAACATAATAACATAGGACCTCTAGTCCTTTAGGCATTAAAAAGAAGTAGCATAATATGTTATAAATATAATTTTCATGGGCTTTTAACTCTAGGTATATAACTATATTCCCCAGAAATATTTATTTCATCAAAGTCCAATTTGTATCAAAATTTCCTTAACCTTTTTTTTACCATCAATGTCTGGCTGTCACAATATCAGGTAATCACACCAAGATTGTAATCAAAATATTTTGTTACAGGCCTACATGGTCTATAAAGGTCATGGGAAGGACGAGCGAGAGAAGACTGGCAAGTTTAGGTCGAGGCCTGCAGAGTCTACATACACCATGACCACCAACCGGAGTGCCAGATTCTGTGATAATATGACTGAGAGGGAACTCGAGGTGAGGATATTGCTATGCAAAGTAATTCTAAATTCTGAGGCAAACTTTGATTTATTTACGTTAATGAAGCATGATTATATTCATTATTTATTACTTTGAGTAAAAGAAAGCAAATACAAACGGTGAAAATAATGGTTCTAATTAGATAAAACTATCAGATAACATTGAACGTAAGATCCAATTACTTCATTCATCTAAAATTGTTCTGTAAAGTTTTAGGTAATTTACACCGTACCTAGTATCCAATTGCTTTTATATTTCTAAAATACGCCAGACAGGTGAGACGAGAACTTAATTAATTTAGCCAGGCCATTACATGGAAAATGTCTGGAATTTCTGCCTAAATTCGGATTAGAAATCAAGTATTTTAACTCATTTGCAGAAAGGACATGTTTTTTGTAAAAGTTTTTACACGTAATTACATTAACTTCGTTTAAAATTTACTCATTTTTATTTTTAAATCTCTATCCAAAAGGAGGAGTTCAGAAAAATCTGTAACCAGTTAGAGAAACTTCGTGAGCGATGTGGTGCTGGAGCAGCGATCTCACGGAGGATAGGTGCCATGCAGGATGCTGCAGCAGTTTATGATAGAAAGCCTCCCACGTCCGACCACTCAGCGCCTTTGAAACTGAACACAGTCTTCAGTGCTGTAGCGGATAGGTTAATGTGTACTGTTACCCCAGCAGAAGAATCCTCAAGTAGTGGTAGGGACTTACCCTTCGAGGCACCACCAGCCTACAAGCACAAGACGTTCAGTCCAACTAAAAGCGCAGAGAACAGCAACGCAGAACAAAGCCAGACAGACGTCACGACTGATTCTCCTAATAAAAAACGCACAGAACTCAACGAAGAACCAAAAGAAGATAAACAGAATGGAGTGTTCAAAATATCCGGTGAAGCTAATTGTAGTGATATCCGACCGCCAGAAGTAAGTCGTAATGGTTATAATAATAAGAGTGAGAAATCAAGTGAACTAAAATCAAGTCCAAGTAGTACTGACACCGTGAAAGGTGTTAGATCAGGACACGCAAGGACTCACGCTATAGTTATTAACTTAGATGATAAGAGTCGCTTTACTGAAGAGGTCACTGTCTAAATAAAGACTGTACTTATAATTTCGTTAGGGTAGGTAAGGATGTACCAAAGATTGACAACAGTTTAAAAGTATCTTTATTACGTACGCACTACAAATTAATTCCGCTATATTCTCATGTTGCTGTAACCCTTTGTAATAAGCTCTTAAATAAACAAGCGCGTTCACCTGAAAATGCTTTTGCGTAGAATGTTCTCGTAGATTTACCGCAACGTTTCAATGGGATTATGCTAGAAACTAACCCACTCTATACACTGTAGGTACCTTGTGAGTTAACAATATTGGATTTCAACACTGTTATAATACCCGAAGTGAAGGGAAATTACAATCGTGTTACACAGTGTAATCGATAGCAGCTTTGTTCAAAATATTACAGACATTAGTTTATTCAATTCAATTATTTTAACAGTGCAATTTCTGCATTGGACTACGATTAGGTTAACCGTTCAATTTCAATTTCATTGATATCTCACAATTGGAACTGAAACCGAATTGTCATCATTGTTGATACAAATCGCAATGAAAATAAAGATTTCCCTTCTGCCTGCAATCTTGAACTGCAGTGATTCCGGTGTTTCGTGACTCGGGACTGTAAATAAAAGTCTTGAAGCGTTCGCGATAAAAGAACAACAATTTATGTGATTGGCATTGAGATACTACATAGATAGAAACTTTCGTTCAAATCTTCATTGTTTTGACTGTTCATTCAATGGCTAGAAACTACATTATAGTATCTAGTATAAATAGAAGTTTATAATATATTTTTCTGTAAGGCAGTTAACGTTTTACTTGCTCGCTTCTTGAGCACTTCTTCACTTTTGTAAAAAATCATTCATCGTTAATTATTTTTTGTAGCATTACATTTTATATTATGTTTTGGAACATTGCAAGATTATCATGGGTACTCGATACAATGTTCATTAATCTATGAATGAATTACTAAACTTAATCACTTGACTAGTTCCCCATTTTCATAACTATAATCTAGAATTCAGTACGTTCCTAAACTGTTGCACTATTACTAACCGAGTAGGTAATCGCCTCCGGCAACAATGATAAATGATATCGTATGCCTATTGATATTATTTCATAGTATGATGAACACCAAAACCAAATTGCAGCTCACGAGACATTGTTAAGGCTTTGACTGCCAATAAAAAACTGTTGAAGGCAAATTCTCCGCTAACGTCGGTCACCGGTGGCGTTGGCGTTTAATGTGTTAAGGTTATAGTTCAAGAGCTCTACGCACAACGCACACTCGTTTTTCATTGTAGATTATTTGTTTCTTGTTCAACCGATCGACTATCACAAGTTCACTGAGTTCACATATCTGGTTTTGTATTTTGAAATAGGGTAGACGACTAATTTTTATTTTAATGTCCGTCTGGTAGATTATTTAAAAACATTAGACACGTATTTTTTATTTTCTTACGGAAACGAATAGTTTCGAAGATATATTGATTTGAAATGTCGCGTGACGTCACTTCTCAGTACATTTTATACTAAGAAATGACGTTTTAGCCCCCACTCCTAAACTTTGATTCGTTTTATCTAAGTATTGTTTTATTATACAACAAAATAAAAAAATACGTGTCTAATATTTTTTTATTACCTAAGTTACGGACTAATTATATTTTTATTTTCATACCCTGTCATCATCCCCATTGTCTTAATATCCAAATTGCAAAAGAGTCCCGATTTAAGTTTTAAACTTGTCTTAGTATTTAGAGTCTTTATCGTAATTACGGTTTGACTAACGCTAGCTCAGTCCCTATTTTTAATAATCTTTGGTACATCCAACCTGTTAGTAATATATCGTTAAAGCTAGTCCTTACTGTGATTCTTAGTAATATGTATGTTTGTTTATTGAAAGTTTCCAAAATGCATATCAAAGTACTTCTGTGTACGTGTATTGTTCTGGTAATGTTGTAATGGAATAATAACTTTAAAATGTTGTTGTATGCTTGGACGTTTAAGTTCATTTTCGTTTGTTATAATTAGTGTATTGAAGGCAATAATGAATTTTTAGACGGCACATCGAAATACCCAAAAATGACAATTGATTTTAAACTTTATCACTTTATAATATCGTTAAAAGTAAATTTAAAACATTGAAATTTCCTGATGCGCTAGCATCGATTCTCATACAAACGCAATAAGAGTTTAAATTAAAAGTGTTCTACTAGTTTCTTTATAATAAAATCTACATTATTTAAATAATAATAAAGTACAGTTTTGAAAACTTCAAATAATAATTACACAACTAATTCAAATGTCATTAATGTTCATACCACAACTTCATACTTTTACGACTTGCAAAACATTCCGTATAATAAGTGAAGCTCTCGTTACCCCAGTAATGTGGCATTCGGTTCACCGTGCAAGCATTCGAGCGAAAGTTTCAAGCAATAATTTCATTTTACTACGTTTTCGAAGTTATCACACAGTCGTTATTATTATGCAGGCATTTTTAATACTTGCGACTTGGGCTTGTTTGTGCAATGAATAGTTTTGATGTCATTTTATTTATTGTTCGTTGAAATACAGATGAAAAATGTTGGAAAATGGTGCCTCTGCTCTGCTGCCTGATGCTGCAGCTGACTGCCTCGTTGAGTGGCCTCGCCGAGTGGTCGCAAGTGTGACTGCCGGGCAAGAGGTCTCGGGTTCGATTCTCGGGTCGGGCAAAGTATTACTGGGTTTTTAAAAATCTCAGTAGTAGCACGGAGTCTGGAAATGTGCCCGGTATGGCAATAGGCTCACCCCCCTATAACATGGAACATAAATAGTGAAAAGTGGGTGTTACATTGTACAGAGGCATTAAGTGCCGTATGGTGCACCTCTGCCTACCCCTTCGGGGATAAAAAGGAGTGATGTTATGTTATGAAATGTTCGAAAAAAGATATGAGTGATGTGTGCAGTCAGATGGGCCATTTCTCATGAGATGAGAATAGACTTGGCAGAAATAATATATACTTTCCTCAATTTTGTTTCCGTCTTAATATAAAACCACTTTCTTTCTACGAAATTGTATATTTTCAATACAAACGTGTATCGGGACGTAGCGAACTTATGTTTTCATATAAAATTAAAAAAAAATTATAAGAGAATATTTTTTTTGTTTTGATATGAATGATGTGTTACGAGTATGTTCTACTTTTATATTTTATAGAAATGACAAAGCAAAATAAATGTATGAATATGTTGAAATTACCTAAGATATTATCGCCATATAATTTTAAACGAGAAAATATATACGATATATATATATATATATAGTTTGTTATACAAAGTTGTCATATTAATTTTATTTGTTAAAGTTTAGCAATATTTTATTCTAGTTTAGAAAGTATGTTTGGCATTATTAAAATATGATTGATATACATTATTTCTACGATATTGTTACTATAGTTCATGAAGTTTAATAATATTTTTTTATTGGAAAAGTTGGATTGAAATAAAATTGTCATTAAGTTATTTATATAACGACAAAAAGATATAAAAAGCAATAAAATTCGTAAGTTAATAAAAATAAGTATTCATTTTACTAACTGTTTTTAAATGGCTGAATAAAATTTTGCTCTGAATATAATATCTGTTTGCGCGAACCCTAACGGGCATGTTAACAGCGACACTAAAATGCTGCCTCACATCTCAATTGAAAATACTGGAGCACATTTTCAATAGGACTATTGAGCAGCATTTTAGACGCTCTCGTTGATATCTTTTCAAGAGTTTACTAAATAAAAGATATCGGATTTTTTTTTGTTTCGTGTAAAAGTAGTTTTATTATTTATAGTTTTTATAAGACAATCTAGCATTTTAGATAATTTTAATTTATTTTTGTATACTCAAAAGACGATTTTAAATCACACTTTAATCTATAAACCACCATTTACCAAAGATTTTAGTTAAATAAGGCAGTTCAAGCTATTTAAAATAAACGTATTATAGATACTTTGTTTGCAATTAGCGCTCAATAAAACGCTTTAACGTCAAAATAATATTTAATGTTGTATTAGATATAACAGTAAAATATAAGACATGTATATGAGAGTTAGAATTTTATTGTACTTTTTGAAAAAAAAAACAATCACACAATTACAATACAACATGTTTTGTGTGTTATAATTATTTTCAAGTACCTATTCGTTAAAAATTTTAGGGATATTTAATTTTATTTTTTATCAAGAACCTGGTTTTTGGGCAGTTTTTAAGTGAACTAACTAAAATTCGCGGGCACTCACGTGAATATATTGAGAAAAGCTGTACTAGTTTCGAACCACAGAGGGGTTCTTCATCATGAGCAGCGTGCGCGGTCGCGGCGATGTCGCGTAGCCTACTGGCATTAAGAAACTAGTAGAGTTTTTTAGATATTCACGTGAGTAACCCGCGATGCTTAGTTAATTTAGTATGTCTCACAATAGTTATTATAATAACAATTTTTAAGTGGTACGATAAAATTTCGACTCTCATTCTTAATGTGTAAATATTCGAGCCACGATGAAAGACAACTAGTGAATGTATTTTTTGTAAATATTTAAGCAAGTATAGCTACATATGTATATCTGCATCTCGACTGTACATATAGTAACAATGTGCCATTTACACTAATGGTGATACGTATGATATTCATAAAGTATTTAATTACTTTTAGTATTAACTGGTACTTAGTGATAAGACTACCGATCAATGTGAAAAGCGCAGCCAGCACATGAAGTTAAACCAACGTTTATCACAAGATTTTGAACTTTATCACAATCTTACAGAAACGAAAATCGAATAAAGTAAATTGATAATTCAGGAGAACTTAGTGTGCTGGCGTACGCACGAAAACATCTACAACTACGAATAAAGTTGTTAATAATAAATTAAAAAATAGTTTTTAATAAAAGCGTGCTACATTTGTTTTATAATAGACATTAAATGAATTTTTAACACTATCTGTAGAAAATAACATATTGCCCAATATTATTAAAAATAATGCATTTGAACACGATTCTGGAGGTAAATCTTTTAACTTTCGTATTTTATCTGAAAACTATAAATTAAATTGTAAGCACTATTCGTCTTCCTATCTATAACAAATATTATTTATTTTATTATGAAAATGGTGACTAATTTTATTCAACTATAATATTAAATTCTTTTTGAGGAAATTTTTTACAACAGCAAAAGAAATTATTGTAGCTCACATTTATTATTTAGTTATAGAAAAAAACAACATTTTATTTTCAACAAGTAATATTTTTCAGATCATTTCTTTAAATATTTGCATCAAATGTCTATTTGCCAAGAAGATACTGTCTTTCGATAAATGGCATCTTTTACTTATTTTTACTCATTACAAGAACACCTTTAGGAATTGCTCATAATAATAATATATATGAATCTAAATCTACTCTTTTAATCAAGTCACACAATAAATTGTAACAATCAATCTTCAGTCATAATATTGGCAGTCACGTCAGACGTCAGACGACGTCAGTGATGTTTCAATCACAAGACATCTTGGCTCTCGGACTATGTCCACAACCCTTTACACGGCACTAGATCAATTAGTGATATATCAAAAACGAATGACTTGCTATTCGAATATTATTATGTTAATATTTATGAAAATATGATTTATTTCAAAGTAATAATATTTATATATTCTTCTCTGGTTTTTGACCAGAACAGAAAATTGTTGAAATTAAATTCTTCTCT